CCTCCTCCTCCTCCTCCTCCTCCTCCTCCCGTTGATCCACCTCCTCATTCTCATCAATGTCCTCCTGATTATTCTCCTCCTCAGACAGGTGGGCGGCAACAAAAGGTGTATTGCGCGAAAAGACGTAGCGAAATTACGCAGCAGCTCACGCGAGCCGCCAGCGCGGCACGACACATTGGAAACGAGGGCGCTTTCGGGCGACATTCGCGAACAGCCTGCCCGCGAATGTCGGCGCAATCGAATACGTGTTCCTTCCTCGCTCGGATGGAAGCTGGGTGAAGGAGTCGTCCTGACCTTCGCATCCTCCCCGTGCCTCGACGATCGCGCCGTGGGCGGTCCTTCTCAGGAGGTGCCCCTGCCGACGCCCCGTGGACAGCGGACTGGTCGCTGCGTCGGCAAGGGCCCTGGGCAACACGGATGGTGAGGCCAGAATACAGAGGAGAGGACGAGGAGGAGGAGGAGCCCTCTTCCTCGGGATCAGGCCCCAGCAGGCCACCTTCAGGGTTTCTCTCCTGGGCCAGGTCGCAACCTTCGCCACTGCCTTCCTGGAGCACTCGACTCCATGCCCTTCGCCGCCTTGCGGGGATTGGGATTCGTCGGGGTCGTTGCGTTGCCCTTGCACGGCGCGGCGCGGCCTAGTTGAACGAGGCAGGCCGCGCTCTCTGACGCTACGAACTAGAGCAGCCCGACAACATGTCGAAGAAAAGGAGTGTGACGGAAGGAAGGGGATGATGATGATGATGATGATGATGATGATGATGATGATGACGACGACGACCACGACGACGACGACGATGATGGTGATGGTGATGGTGATGATGATGATGATGGTGATGATGATGATGATGATGATGCTGATGCTGATGCTGATGCTGATGCTGATGCTGATGATGATGATGATGATGATGGTGGTGGTGATGATGATGATGATAATGATGATGATGGTGATGGTGGTGATGATGCTGCTGCTGATGATGATGATGATGATGATGATGACGAGACGAGGGCGAGGAGGAGGTGGATGAGGAGGAGGAGGCGGCGGATGATTGGGGTTTAGACTGCATATGCGGGGAAAGACGAGGGGGAAAGTACGTGGGAGCAGCGGCGGCCCGTGGCGCGCGGAAGGCCGCCGAACCGGGGCGCTCCTCCTCGGGGAACACCACCAGCATCATGGCCGCGATGTAGTTGAGCCCTGGGGCACGCGTCCGGCCCCTCCTCCCCCTCCTCCTCCACCTCCTCCTCCTCCTCCTCCTTCTCCTCCTCCTCCTCCTCCTCCTCCTCCTCAGTATCACCACCACCAGCATCATCATCAGCAGCATCAGCAGCATCATCATCAGCATCACCACCACCACACTCATCAACAGCAGCATCAACATCATCCTCCTCCTCCTACTCCTCCTCATCATATCATCATCATCATCATCACATCATCATCATCATCATCATCATCATCATCATCATCATCATCATCATCATCATCATCATCATCATCATCATCATCATCATCATCATCACCATCATCATCACCATCATCAGCAGCAGCAGCAGCAGCATCATCATCATCATCAAACATGTCGGCTGCGTCTGTAAACTCTGCCGTGCGTTTACTTGTGGAGGCCAGATGCGAGGGTTTGCGAAGCAATGCCTCGAGAGGCCTCGAGAACACAGCGACAGTTAGACGAAATTGGGCAAAGGGGCTCAGTCCTGACCATACGGGAAAGGGAGCCACAGCCGATCTCGAGACGGCTTGCCCTGTGTAAGCGGGGTGCTTGACGGTGGATGTCAAAATGCAGCAGCAGTACCACCCCTCCTCCCTCATGCCCCCCCCTCCTCCTCCACGTCTTTACCACGTCCCGCTGCCTCCCCCTCGGCGCCCCTGCCTCCCTCTACAATCACTGAATGTGAATACTACTCTCCTCTCTCCCGTGAGGTTGACTGGGTAGTGGCTCCGCTCTCTCCGCATATTGCTTCTAGCACACTCTTTTTTAGGACTGTGTCTTTCACGTTGCCATATTTTACAATCCGATTGTTTCCAGTCTGCAACATGGCCCCTGGTCCCGGCAGTGCCACAGACAGGTCACGCAAGTCTCGTAGGCCCCACAGTTCCCACAGCTCCCACAGCTCCCACAGGTCCCACAGGTCCCACCAGGTCCCACAGGTGCCGCAGGTCCCACAGGCCCCACAAGTCACATAGGTCCTCCAGGTTGCAGAGGTCCCACAAGTCCAGCGGTCCCCACGGGTCCCACAGGTCGCACCTGCCCCACAAATCCCACAAATCCCACAGGCCACAGAAGTCCCATAGGCTCCCCATGTCCCACATCTCGCACAAGTCCCACGGTTCCCACCTGCCCCACAGGTCCCACAGGTCAGGCTATGACGCGCGTCCGCGGCTGGAGAAAAATCATCACAGTGGGAAGGCATGGGAGAGAGGGCCAGGATGCCAGATGTGGCACGAGCGCACCCGGCCTGGCGCCTGCCCCTCGCTTGTCCTCCCCCTCCCGCGTCCCCGCGCCTCCCGCCCCCCGCCGCCCCAGGGACAAACCCAGACCTCCAGCGTCGAGAGGGAACAGCGGCGGGCAGCATCCTTCGGGAGCGGCCAACAGGGGGGTGTCCAAGAGGGGGGGGGGTGCAAATCAGGACCGGCGGCATGTGCGCGGCCCAGCGGGGGGGCCAGGGACGTAATGAAATGAGAAGAGGCGCCATGAAATCTGGGGAAATATCATGGCCCTCGCCATGATATCCCCCCCCCCCTAGTCATCACCCCCCTCTTTTCCGCCCCCGAATCCTGGGCTCGGGCCCACGGAGGCCCCGTCCTTTGCCTGCCGGGGCAGCAGAGAGCGACCCCCGGCTCGAGGTCCTGGCCGAGGCTGGGGCCGAGAGCTCCCAGGGCCCCCCCCCCACGCCTCGGAGCAGCGGCGAGGCCGGAGGCCCGGGGGAGGGGACGAGAAAGGAGGGCACGCAGAGTGGGGGCTGTCTAAGAGGCCGCACGCAGCAGGTTCTCTGAGAGTCCCCGAGTCCATCCCAGGCGCCCGCGCCCGCGCTTCGAGGCAGGGCGTCGGGGACGAGGAACAACCGTACGCAGAAGAGTTCGCCCCCCCCCCCCCCCATCCGAGAGTAGATCTTAACCGTGAGCAGATGTGCACTCAACAGCGAGCGCGCAATCACTCACACTTAAGCGCAGAACCACTCACGGTGAACCGCACGTCACTCAAGGTTTAGATCTCCCGTCCCCCCATCCCCCGCCCCCCCTCTCGGACCTCCCGACCGCACGGATACGCACTTTTTTCGTCGGCGGCTAGGAGAGTCACTGAGCTGGCGAGGAAGCGCCGCACGGACTCACACGCACCCCGCAGTCCCACCATCCCAACGGCTGCAGAGCCTCCAAGAGTAACCGAAAGGTCAGGCACAAGGAAACCGACCCTCCAACGGGAAACGCAGAACAACCTTGAGGGCTGAGGTCGAGCCTCCACTGCTGAAGGCTTTTTGAGCATCTGGGCTGCTCCTGCTGCTATTCTTCCTCCCAGGGTTGCTTCTGCTGCAATTTTTCCCTCTGTCTCTGGGGACGTCCATTTGCCCCAGGATCGTTGTACACGCCTCCCTGGCCAAGCCAGGAGGTCGTTTACACCGATCCGGGGCCCAGGATGCGTGCAGCCAGGTTTGGTGAGGCGGTTTGACGTTCCCCGACCACCGTCGTCGTCGTCGTCGCCGCCGCCGCCGCCGCCGCTGCCGCCGTCCGTGGTGGTCGTCGCCACCATGTCGCCATCGAGAACCGAGGTCCGAGGCTCGAGGCTCGAGGCTCTTGGCCGCTCCTGTGCCCGTGGGGCCTCCGGAGGCCTCTGGGCACTCTCGCCACCGTGCGCGACCGCTGCGCGAACGCTGCGCCCCTCGCCCTCGCGCTCGCCCCAGCACGCTGGCGCCGTGGAGCCGATGCCCCGAGACATGGGGCCCGGGAGCGAGGGGGCCTCGAGCAGTGCCGACGCAGCACCTGGAGGCCACTTCCCACCCTTGGGCCGGGCAGGCGGAACCTGGGCAAAGAATGAAGCAGATTCCAAAGAGGCCCAAACATAAGCAAACACAAAGAATAGAAAGGTCGTCCCCAGGCTAGTTCTGGACTCTCTTTGACTCTTCCTCCTGTCGAGGGACACGCCCGGCTGAATCCCACCCTCGAGGCCCCATCCCTCGGGGCCCCACGGCACGGCGTCGGCCACAGCGTCGGCTGCGGCGCCGAGAGCGGCAACGGACACGGCGTCGGATGCGGCGACACGCACGGCGTCGAGCAGGTCGCCAGGGAGGCTGCCGGGCGGACCGTCGGGGGGGGTCACCGTCGAGGATGGGGTCGGGAGGGTGGCCAAGGAGGCCGTCGGGTGCGGCTCGGGACCGGCTTCGGTTACTAGGGGAACAAGCAGATGCGCAAACAGAAATATTCGGAGCTGCGCGCGGATGTCTTGGTTCTCTGCCGGGCCCCACTCCCTCGAGGGCGGAGCGCGCCAGGGGCGGGGCAGGACGCGCCGCAAGGGGGGTCCAGCGCAGATCCAAGAAGTCTGCGCGGAGAACCGAAATATGGTCACTCGGGTTGTCCTCGTCGAGTCACGGAGCCAGTTGCGGCGTGGGGTGCGGCGTCGGGCAAACTATATCCGACGCCGCAGCCGACGCCGCACCTGTGCCCCGATGCCCGGCTCCGCTCTTCGCGGAGGTGCCCCGGCCTGGCGACGTTGAGGGCTCGCCGCTGGGTCCTGGCACGGCACGAAACTGGACGTTCAGGCTTGGCTGAAGCGTTCCCCCTGCCCTCCCAGGGCCTGCCGCGCTGGGCGGGACGATTCGCGCCCAACCACCTCTGGGCCGAAAAGGGCGCGAGAACTCTTTGCTGAGAGCCTCGGTCATAGCCTTAATACCCATCCGAATAACAACGAATAATGGCCAGCGTGGACCCCAAACAGCGTGTTCTGGCATAGGACGTGGTGCAATGAATGTGGTGCAATAGTTACATGTGGTACAATATATGTAGCGCACATGTTACATTGCACATGGCGCGTTCTATGTGGTGCAAGCTACGTGATGCAATGCGGTGAGCAATCTAACTGGTGCAATATACGAAATGCAACCTATGTGGTGCAAGCTATGTGAAGCGATCGAAGTGGAACTCACGTAATCAGATTCGTGGTGTGAGCTATGTGGTGTAAGCCGCGTGTTGCAATATATTTGTTTCCATATAGGGGCTGCGAGCTAGGTTTGGAAATCTGTGTCGTGCAATGTGGCGCACACTACGTGGTGCAAGATATGTGGTGCGGTAAATGTGGTGCAATGTGTGGGTGGTCAGATCTATGTTGCGCTATATATATAATATATATAATATATATATATATATATATATGTATATATAGAAATAAATAAATAACTAAATAAATAAATAAATAAATATATAGTTGTAAGGCAATCGATGTGGTGTTATATCTGTATATATACACACACGGTTACCTGTAACCCTCTGTGGTGCAAAATCTCAACGGTGTCAACTACATGGAGCAACTACCTAATGCTCACAGATGGGTTGACAACTCCAGTGCTCGCGCGTTCATCCCGCCCACCCACCCGCAACTGAGTTGGCAAAACCCAGACGGCAGTGATTACAATGGCTGCTTGGCGTTGGTTTGCGCATGGATTCGGCCGCGCTGGCGCGCCCAGGCTCGCGCGCAAGGCGGCCAGCTAGTTTGGCGCGAACGACGCGGCCGCGGTGGCGCTGACCGTTGAGTATTTCAGCGCGTCGCGTAGGCCGCGCTGACGCGCGGGCACTTCAATGCGAATCGGTGGCTCGGGCGGGCGTGGTATCATAGCGACATCAACAGCGGTAAACACGATGATGATAGTAGCGATGCTGGTGACGATGATGACACTGACGACGGCAAAGCCAATGATGGCGCCGATGCTGATCGCGCCGATGACGATGATGGTGTCTACGCGTCGGCGATGAATGTTTTGGGGGAAATCGGCATGCGCGCGCGACCGAATCGCGCGGGTGGCCCGCATGGTATTATCTGATAAGCGCCCTGCCCCCCCAGCACGCGCGCAAGGGCGTCCGAATGATCTGGACATGCGCGCGCGGAGCGGCCCTCTTGGTCGCATGTGATGAACATGTTGAGATACCGATGGCTTCCCTCAGAATTTGCAAGAATGCGTTGACTTTTTTAAAGCTGCAACACATGCTGCTTTATGTTTTCGGGACACTCGGCGTTGTAATCCCTACCAAACCTAAGGTTTTTGAAGGATCCCGGCACTTGCATAAGCTTACAAACTCTGTCCTAAGGTGGCTGCTTGTGACTAAGCGCGAAGGTTCCAGAAATCCTTGCGAAATGGTGGGACCTAACGACGACGCGCGTGTGCACTTCGCACCGTATGTTGCAAGGGGATGTTGCAAACTTGATGGTTGTTGATAAACGAGTGCGCGCGCAAAGTACTATTAGACGAGGATGATGGGGGGAACCGGCCCAGCTGGCATGGTGTGCAGGAAAGACTTGGAATGAACGATTGAGCAGAATCAAATGTAAACTGCTCATCGCGAGGCCGGACCGAATCCCTGGGGGGGATGCTTATTCTTTGCAAGAACAGAGAATCGATGTTGTGTTATCTAGGGCGGCGACGGGGCGGCGACGGCGACAACGTAGCCGCCAGACCGCCAACCAAGCCCAGACGACCGGCGGCAAAGAGGCGGCGACGGGACAGCGACGGCGACTGCGAGCACGGAGCTGCCAGACCGACAACCCCGGCCAGACGACGGGCGGCAAAGAGGCGGCGACGGGGCGGCGGCGGCGGGCACGAAGCCGCCACGGACCGACTCCCCCCCCGAGCTCCTTAGAGCAGAAGTAAGAGCCCCCAAGTGCAAGCACAGTTTGGGGAACCGCGAGGAAGTCTTAGGCGAGACGGCTGCCAGACCGCTCCCAGACCAGGCGGCCTCGGGCTCCCCGTCCCCCTGTGGACTCGCCTGTTGTCTTTTTTTCAAAGTTTCCTCCTCCATCCTCCTCCTCCTCCTCCTCCTCCTCCCCCTCCTCCTCCTCCTCCTCCTCCTCCTCCTCCTCCTCCTCCTCCTCCTTCTCCTTTCTAACGCCCTCTAGCGAAACGGTGCCATGGAACAACCAGAAACCTTCTGAGCCAGCGCGGTTTTCTCGGATCGGCGATGGCCCCACCCACCTCTCTGGCGCACAGAGCGCGCCAGGGGCAGCGCCGGTGGCGCCGCCGGGGGCTTCCGGAACACATCCAAGAAATCAGCGCGGAGCTCCGAAAGTTCATGTTTATGTCATGCTGCGTTTTTTATTGACCCACGATTGGTGAAGGCTGCCAGGGGGGCACTCCCCGTGAAAGCTGTCCGGGGCACTCGCCGCCCCGTCCTCCTCGACAGCAAACTCCCCCACGCGGAGCGCACGCCGCTGCCGCGTCCCGAAGAGAACCACCCCTGCGCGGCGCCCTCGCGGAGAGGCGAAAGCCCGTCAGCAGGCGCGACGGGCTGGTGCAGGAGGCAAACACTGGAGGGGGAGGAGGAAGAGGATGAGCGACCATACCAAGAAGGGAAGAGACGAGGGCAAGCGGGCAAGACGCGAGAGGAAGGCACGTGTCCCGGCTCCAGTTCGTCTCAGGCTACGGCCTCATCGCGTGAAGTGCAGCGGCTCGGCACTCAGTGCCAGTAGTGTAAAGAAGCGCGGCGCTGGGCGCGGCGTGCGTGATGATACTGTAGAAGTGAAACGAAAGGTGCTGTCCGACCGACAGCTTCAGGAATAGCGTGCTCAGGGTTAGCGTGTTGCCCAGGCGTCCCGAGGCCGATGCGAACGAGAGGGTCCGAGGAGAGGAAGGAACGAGGTGACGCGAGGAAGTGGAGGAGGCGGGGGCAGGTGAGGAGGAGGAGGAGGAGGAGGAGCAGCAGGAGGAGGGAAGAAAGAAGGAGGAGGAGAAAGGAGGAGGAGGAGGAGGAGGAGGAGGAAGGAGGAGGAAGGAGGGGAGGAGGAGGAGGAGGAGGAGGAGGAGGAGGAGGAGGAGACTTAGACTTAGACAACCCTTGGCGAAGCAAGCAGCGCTATCCGACGTGTCTTGATCGCTGGGCGGCATGCCTGTGTTCAGGCTGCGACTCTTTCCTGCGCTGGCACTGGCGGAAAAGACACGGGCCCCCCTGCTGCCCTCTCGGGGAAGACGCTGGGCGCAAGGGTGGCGGCCCCTCCAGCCTAGCGCGGAGGGGGAGAGGGCAACCCGCTGCCTTCTTCCAGGGGGGCCCCACACGGCATCCCCCCCGCCAGGGAAAAGCAGGCGGGCGGCCCCTTACCCCCTCCCTCTCAGAGGGGGACGAGTTTGTCTCCCCCTACCTTAGCCCTTACCTTGCCCCCCTTTGGGGCGCGGTTGAATTTTCGATAGCGGGATCAAGCGGCCTCTGGAGTCCTCCAGATTCAGCTCGGAGAGGGAAGAAGTGAAAGAGGCCAGAACAGACTCCCTACTCAAGAAGCCTGGAGGAGGAGGAGGAGGAGGAGGAGGAGGAGGAGGAGGAGGAGGAGGAGGAGGAGGGAGGGGAGGAGGAGGCGCGGCGGAGCCCAGAAGCCCGCGGGCGGAGGCCGAGGGCGAGGGCGGGGCGGGGAAGGGGCCCTGGCAGTACTGCACGCGGGGGTAGTGGACCGCGAAGGCGCGCAGCACGTTCCGCAGCCGCCTCCACCGGTCGCGGACCGCAGGCGGGAGCGTTCGGCCACGCGGGGCAGAGAGACGGGAGCGGGAGGGCGTGCGCTCAGGAGGCGCGGAGGGCGGCAGGGGAAGCCATGGTCGTGTTTGGCAGTGGGGTGAGGGGCGGAGAGAAGCGATGGGGGACGGGCGGGACGGAAGCAAAGAGGGAGAGAGGGGAAGGGAAGGAGGCTCAGAGGCGAGAGGGGGAGAAATGACCTCAGGAAGACCTGACGCGGTAACATCGAACGCACGTAATACACTTACATCCGCGTACCGCTTCTTTTGTATGCGTAAAATAAGAATGATAATAGTAATACTAATAATAATACTAATAATAATAATAATAATAATAATAATAATACGAAAAAATAATAATGATGATATATATATATATATATAATATACATATACATATACACACATATGTACAGCTGCGTCCCCTAGCTTTTCTGCTGCAACACAACACCACCTAACAACGACAAATCGCCTCGTTGAAGAAGACCAGAATACCCAGAGCCTGCGGTATGAAGCGCGCCGCCGTATAAATGTGAAACAGACTGCGAAGGAGGAGGAGGAGGAGGGAAGTACATAAAACTCCGAACGCTCATCGGCCAGCATTCAATCAATTCCCAAAACAGTGCTTGGGCTCTTACGTCTGGTTTGAGGAACTGAACTGGGCCTCGCTGGCAGTCTGGCTGCTACGTTGCCGCCCAGTCGCCGCCCCGTGGCCGCCCGTCGTCTGGGCATGGCTGGCGATCTGGCGGCTATGTTGTCGCAAACGCCACCCAGTCGCCGCCCCGTCGCCGCCACTTCGCCGCCCGTCGTCTGGGCCTGCATTGCTTGGCATTGCTTTTCATTGCTTGGCACTACTTTGCATTGCTTTACACTACTATACTGTGATGTACATTATCATGCATTACTTTAAATTGCTATGCCGTGCTTTGCATTGCTCTGCAATGCTTGGATCGCTTTAAATTGACTTGCAGTGCCTTGCAGTTCTTTGCATTGATTTGCATTGCTTTGCTTTTCATTGCATTGCGCTGCATTGATTTGCAGTGCTTTGCATTGCATTGTATGGCGTTCGCACTGGTTTGCAATCGCATTGCATTGCATTGCTTGGCATTGAGTTGCATTGCGTTGCATAGATTTGCATCGTTATGCTGTGCTTATCTGTGCTTGGATGTTCATCGCATTGCATTGATTAGCATTGCTCAGCACTGATGTGCATTGCGTTGCATCGCGGTGAATTGCCTTATTGCCTTGCATTGCGCTGCCTCGCTTGCAGTTGCTTCGCATTGCTTCGCGTTGGTTTGCATTGCTTTCCATTGCTGTGCAGTGATTTGCATTGCGTCATATTGCGCTGCCTTGCATTACATTGCCGTGCAGTGCTTTTGGCTTGCACGAATCTTCATTCAATCGCACTGAGTTGCATCGTTATGGGTTGCATTGCGCTGTAATGGGTTGTTTGGCATTGCTGAACAGTGATGCGCATAAGATAACACAGAAGGGAGGGGAGCTGGAGGGGGAGAAAAGGGAAGATGAGGTTTGCGGTTTCCTCTATGGCCCTGCGTACCGCAGCGCTTGCGTACACCATAGCACGCCCAACAGCACGCCCAACAAAACTGTTTTTGTCCCCGAATAGTTCTCGCACTCAGGAGTTCTTGCTCCACTTCTAAAGAAATTGGCCTGCGGGCCGCTCTGGCCGCCATATGGCCGCCGGCGCCACTTCGTCGCCGCCCGTCGCCTGGGCCTGCGGGCCGCCCTGGCCGCCCTGTGGCCGCCGGCGCCACCTCGTCGCCGCCCGCCGCCTCGTCGTCGCCCGCTTTGCATTGCCCCGTACCGAATTGCTTCGCATTGCTTCGCATTGCTTGCCATTGATTTGCGTGACACAGATTGTACCACATATATTCTTCTTTAAAAATATGAGGGTCTACCCCCCCAGAACTAATGGCCCCCCTTTTCCGTATCGCAATTGTCATACGATTCTGCTCCTTCATCCTTCCTAAATCTGACCTGGCTAGAAACATGAAGTAGGAAGGCGTTGGATGTAGATTGGGCTCCGCCCGCCACCTGAAGAGGAAGGACAAGGGGAGGCAACTCGATCATGGAGGCAGGAAGACGCCTGAAGTAGATTGGCATCTGGGAGCCCAGAGATACCTACTGTCAACGACCGGCGTGCACAGCCGAAAATGCGGATAAAAAATATCATTTCAGAAATCTGGGCCAGCTTCCCGGAAGTTTCTCAAAACGAACCTGGGCCAAGATCTGTTGTTGACGCTGGAGGTGCCAACATGCTCAAGAAACTGCGCCAGCTGTTCGGCAAGTTGGTGAAGAAACGCTGGCCCAGCTTTTCGGGAGGTCTCTTAATCAGATGCTCGGCTGTATGGCCGCGTTCATTTTGTATCGTTGCCAACTTGTGGCAGTCCCACAGCCGTGTTGGCAGGCACGTTGTGTGACCCCTCTCGGGAGCCCAACGGGGGATGCCTTCTGGAGCCCAACGGGGCCGATGTGACCCCGTGTTGGCCCGGTGACCCCATGGGGCCGTGTGACCCGTACTGGCCATGACCGCCGCTCCAGTACAGAGCCCTGGTGACGAGAAAACAACGGACGGCGCCATTCTGCGGAGTCCCGGAGCGGTGCGGTGAGAGACCGTGCGGTGACCTCGAAATCCCCCAAGACCTCACCGCGCGGTCCGTCAACGCACGGTTTTGGGACCTCGGAGGCCCCAATCGCCCGAGACGTCCTCGGAAAGGGACTCGAGTCCGAATCCCACCGAAAGGGACGTGCGGTGACCCCGAATCCCCACCGACTCACCACACGGTGTGGTCACCGCCCCCTTTGGGAGCCCCCGACATACCCAAAGGCGTGCGGGCCTTCGCCGGAAACATTGTGTACATGCTCGGCTGAACGTCTCACGCTTGCGAACCTATACCGAAGGATGTCCGCTGCACTGTGCGCGTGGCGGCTGCGAGCGCACAGTTCCCATGGCCATGAACCGTGTGCTCGTCCCCGACAAAGCCTCGACACGCCCAGCGTCCGCACCTCGATGCCTCCGGCCGAACCGCGGGCGGCGCCATTGGCCGACGCCGCAACCGCTGCGTCGCGATGTCGCCCGCTCCCGCGGCGGCGGCCCCCGCTCTCGCCCTGGGGGCAGGGCAGGCAGCCCTGCTGGGCGACGAGAAGGAACGGATCTTGCGCACGAGCACACGGCGGCCCTGCGCCGCGGATTACGCGGGCCGCCAGCGTGGCGTCAGGATCACCAACACCATCAGCATGCATCGCGTGCTCTGCCTGCTCCTCCAGGCCCGCGGCGCCGCGGCCGCCTCGGCCGGAGTCCAGCCCTGGGCGGCGCGGCAGCCACAGGCAGCCACAGGCAGCCACAGGCAGCCGCAGGCAGCCGCAAGCAGCCGCAGGCAGCAGCTGGCAGCCGCAGGCAGCCGCAGGCAGCCGCAGGAAGCCGCAGGCAGCCGCAGGCAGCAGCTGGCAGCCGCAGGCAGCCGCAGGCAGCCGCAGGCAGCCGCTGGCAGCCGCAGGCAGCCGCAGGCAGCCGCAGGCAGCCGCAGGCAGCCGCAGGCAGCCGCAGGCAGCCGCAGGCAGCCGCAGGCAGCCGCAGGCAGCTCGGCGACGCATCCCGCCGCCGCCGCGTACGGCGCGTAGCGCGGCCAGGCTCCGCCGCGCCGGGGCGGCCGCCAGCGTCGGCGCCGCGCGCCAAGGGCCGCCGCTGGCGCTGGCCTGCTCCATGAACCCGCCGGCGAGGTCGGCGACCGCCGCGCGCAGCAGGCCCTCCGCAGCCCGCAGCAGGCGGGCCTCCGAAGGCGACCGCCCTGCAGCCAGGCCCGAGGCGGCGTGGGCCGATGAGGGCCTGGCTGCGGGAGGGGTAGGAGGAGGGAAGCGAGGGCGCGACAAGAGCGAGGGAACGAACGGCCACCCGTGCGGACGAGCGAGTCCGGGCCTCCTCGAGACCAGGTGCGCGAGGCCGCGGCCTCCAGCTGCTGCAGCGCGTGGCGAAGGCAGGCGCAGCGCTTGAGCCCGCAGGCGAAGGCAGGCGCAGCGCTTGAGCCAGCGAGGAGGCAGAGGAGGGAGGCGAGCGTTCGGTCGGCACGAGAGGCGGCACGCGGCCAGGGCTCGGTCCCAGTCGGCCAGCGGAGGCGCCCGCGCCCGGCCGACCTCCGGAACACCTCGTGGTTGGGAAAGGTGCGCTCCAGGTCCCTCTCGATCTCCTCGCGCGGGGGCAGAGGAGAGCGGCGCCACCATTAGGTCGGGCGTGTCCTCCTACAGGCGGATGTTGGACGATAAATATAAAGAGAGTCCAAACATATTCAACAAATATATCAAAGTTAGCCCAAAAATCGTTCCCTGACTATTTTTGGACTATTGTTGAATATTCCTCCTGTAGAGGGACACGCGCGACTTAACGCCACCACCATCGCGAAGGGCCAGGGGTGGCCCTCCTGGTGCTGAGGTGCCCCCTGCTCTGCGGGCCGTCCCGCTCGACGAGGCTCTCAGCGGCACTCCCGGCCTGCAAAGCTCGGGACGGCCTCGTGGGCCTCCTCGCTGGCCCGCTGGTGCTGTGCAAGAGGGCGAGAGATTCACCCCCAGAATTACCACCCCGACAGGCGAGGCCGTTCCGCGGACGCACCCAGACAGGGAATCGAGCAGGGCAGGGCTGTTCAGTAAACGCCCAGGGCCGCGTAGCAAACGCCAATTGTCGGGTCCGGTTGGTTTCCCCTCCCTTGAGTGTGGTGGTGCCGCTTCTCCTCCCTCCGATCGCGGCGCGGAAGGGTGGGGTGGCGGCCGAGACGCCTCGAGGACGATGGGCGGAAGCGCTCTCCGTTATTTATGGCGCCTCGCCAGGCTGCATCTGGGCATCGAGCTGCGCGGCAACCCGCTGGACCAATCGAACATCATCACAACACGTACGGCAGGTTCGTGTCGCGTCGACCCGGGCGTTGGTTCCTGACACCGCGGGGATCGTTCAACCTTAAACGATCGGCCTTTTCCGCAACGTCCGATCGTTCAACATCGACCGATAATGGGCCGCCGCCGGCCTGCAACGTTGGACGCCGTCGGCGAGGTCGCCGCAGGTCGACACGACGCGAACCTACCGTATCCTCTTCACGCGAGCGGGAATGAATGATCGACGACGGCGTTGTTCGAAGGGGGGACAGCACGCGGGCTTGGGGCCCCTCGGGGCCACAAGTCTGGGCAATGTCGGCACACATTCCCCAAAAGGCCGACCGCGGCATCTCCCCAGTCCGCGAGGACCGCCACTCGCACTTCGAAGCACGTCTGAAGTATCCGGGGACCCCACCGCCGCCCTTTCTGGAGCCCAACTCGGCTGGGGGGCATGGGAGTGAACAATTCCACTCCAACCTCAACTCAACCCTGGTCTAATCCCTCCGAATCAGATCGAGAAAGTGCGCGCCCCCACCACAGAAAGCCACTGTGGCAAAGATATCACATTCGGCGGCATCAGTTCGTCCCAAGGCATGTTCATGCGGACTGCTTCACATTGCACGTGCTTATACTGTCATCCGCATGTGAGAAGCAACAGAACAATCGAGAGAGACTCGCCGAGTGAAGCCCAATGGAACGAACCTCGTGCACCTGCAGCACTGGATGCCCAGAACCTCCCACTCAAAAAGGCTAACCATGGACATCCGAAAGCCAGAAGCAGGAAGGCCCGCACGAACTCCGGAGCGCAGAATCGCGAGAGTCTTCCATGCGGGGCACCGCAACAACACCTCGGACACTTTGGAGCATGAACCATCCAATCTCACGAATACCTGGTCAAAACCGAATTGCAAGGACTTCCATATTAGCACCGCGAGGGCACCTAGGACTGAAGAGTGCTCGACGCGTTCCGCACTTGCGCACCAGCATCGAAACAAAGCTGCAGAGAAAAACGCCATGGGTGAGAATCCCAATGCAAGCGACTTCGAGACGATGAAGCGTTTCCGGCGTTCGATCTGAGAACTTTGGGGCATCCCCTACGGTGGCGGCGCACAGTCGAAAGACAACATGGACGTGTCTCCTCTAGCGCCTGAAACACCAACCAGCCTCGCCTCCTGCTTAGAATCGCATGCAGACAGGCGTGGAGCGTCGTTCATGGCAGCCCTGGCTGTGACACCAGCGCGTATCCCAACGTCGACTCGGGCGTTGGCAGAACTGGGTTTAGTAGGACCCGGTTTAAGGATGTTTACTAGGGGACGCCCCCCGCCCGCCCCGTTCTACTAACCGGAACTGCCGTCACCCGAAAAAACACCAGCTACGGCAGTCCTGGCTTAATGATTCTGGCCAATTTAGGGGCTCCGGGGCCCTAGCACTAACCGGGTCCCCTTACCTGGGGTCCTGGCTATATCCGAGTCGACACCACAGTGAATCCTTTGTCTGCCCAACCCAGGGCAAGGACTGCGAGGACGAAAAGCCAGAACTGACTGCCGGGAGGTGCCGAGAAGAAGCGACGGCATATGCAGACGAAACGGCGTCCAAAGAGAGCTGGTGATTTTAGGTATTTGGAGCGTAGGTGATTTATGGAGCTGGTGATTCCTGCATTCTTCTTCCGCTTCGGAGATAGAAAGAAAAAACAACGCCGTAGACATAAACTTCTGGCGCTCCGCGCGGGTCCTCCTTATGGAAAGAGGTTTACTTCCCCCCATCCACGCCTAGAAAATATGAATACTACTCGCATCTCTCCCCTGACTCTGTCTGGAAGATCTCTGGCCCTCTCCGCGTACCGCTTTTCTCGCACAGGGTGCCAACAGCAGACGCCCTTGCTAAACAACAAGATAGCTGCCGGCGTTTCAGGACGGTGGGCCTCATGTTCGGATCGGCGCTGTGCCCCCGTCCTTCAGCATGGTGCTCTCGCCCCAGCACGGGCTCTCGTCGTTGTCGCCCCCCTCGTTTTCCCTCCTCCGCCTTCCCCCGGTCCTCCTGCTCCCCCGGTTCCTTTCACTCCCATTCCTGCTGCTGCTGTTCGTCCTCGTCCTCCTTATTCATCTTCCTTGTGCTCCTGTTCATCCTCCTGCTCTCCCGCGGCCTCCTCATCCTATGTACGCAGTTCCCCTTGTCCGATTGCGCATAACGCGATGGGGTCTTCTGCTGGAGTTCCAAATCGGCTATGACACGCGTCCTCGGATAGAGACAAATCCGTGCAGTGGGAAGGAACTGGAGGGAAGGATTTGATGTCGGATATGGCTTGAGCGCACCTAGCTTGCCCCACCAGCTCCCACTGGGCCTGGACCCCTTCCCGCAGGTCGCTTGAGGGTCCAAGGTAACACAAGACGGCCCCAAGGTGGAGACCAAGATGGCCTCCAAGATGGCACAAGGCCAAGATTGCTCTCACATGCCGAGGCTCCAAAACCGCCGAAAGGTGGCCCCAAGTGACCAGGACCCCCCCCGAGAGGCCCAAACCCTTCCAAAACGAAGGGGGCGTCAGTGATGGCTGTCTTCTCACCTGTTCGCTTCCGATCGGCGTTGGAGGCCTCGAGATGACTCCAAGATGCCTCAAAAGAGCCCCGAAGGCAAGAAACGACGTTTAGGCCTCCGACTGGGGTACCGTAATGACTTACCTCCCCCCCTCTTTCACGTATGGCCTCCAAGATGGCCTCAAGAGGGCCCCCAGGACCCCCAAGATGGCCCCAGGAGGACCACTTAGGCCTCCACAACACGGCCCCACGAGGGCCCAAGTAAGCTGCCAGGAGGCGCCCACGTCGAAAGATCAGCAAAGGCATTCGTGGCGACTCCTGGCGAAGGCTGCCACACCTCCTTGTCGCACTGCGTGCTCCTGACCTCACCTGATCGAGGCAGCTCGCCTGGACATCGCTTCTGGATGGGCTGGTGGGGGTACTTTTTGGTTCGCAGGCGCACGAAGCAGGTCGGACGCCGAGTAAGCTAGGGCGGGCCGCGCTCCGTAGCTAAGGGAAAAGCAGAGAGAGAGAGAGAGAGAGAGAGAGAAAAAAAAAAAAAAAAAAAAAAAGAGAGAGAGAGAGAGAGAGCGAGAGAGAGAGAGAGGCGAGCAGCGTCTGGCTCAGAGCGGGACGGGGATCAACGCTGCCAAAATGGCGCGGATGGCACCACTGCTGGTGGGGATACTTTTTGACGTGCGGCCCGCAAGGATAACTCCAGAGGGCGGTGTTACCGAGGCTGGGGCACAGCGCAAGATAATTAGCGCGAGAACGCGCGGACCATGCAAAACCACTGGGCAGATGCCAGCGGGGGGAAGCTGCCACAGGTGGACAACCGATGGATTATTTGCAAAACCACTGGGCAGATGCCAGCGGGAGAGAAGCTGCCACCGGTGGACAACAAAAGAACACAAGCCAGACCCGCAGGTGGGGAAACCTGGCCGGTGACCGGAAGAAAGAGCACTGGTGGGGATGCGCAAGCGCCAAGAATTGAGAGGACTTCTCACGCCAATAAGCCAGACGCCATGTGCGAGGCGGGCAAAAAGTAGTTGACCCTGGACGACCGAAGTCCGGTGCACCCTTCCCTGGGGTGGTAGACCCTCTCTCCTCCCAACCCCCTCGCTCCCTCACATCCGCACTCCCTCCCTGCATCCTCGCACCCTGGGGCCTCCCTCCCGTCTCAATCCTCCCTCCCCTCCGTCCGAGCATCGTTGCCACTGCAGCCTGTGACTGATCACGCTTAAGCCGAGCATCGCTGCCACTGCAGCTCGTGATTGCACACCTGACCCGAGCATCGTTGCCACTGCAGCTCTTGTTGTTTCTATCACACTTGAGCCGAGCATCGCTGCCACAGCAGCTCGTGATCCCGGCTCCCTCGTGCCTCATCCCTGCCTCTCTCCCGAAGCCACGAGCGCGCAAAAATTAGGTCGGGCGTGTTCCACTACAGGCGGATTTTGGACGAACAAATTGAAATACTCGAAACATTCTCACACAGATCCGAAAATTTGAAAAATCAAATCAAAAAAACAAATCCTGGCGAAGGACCCAACCATATGCAGTTGTGGGTACCGCAATTGTGAATATCTTCTTCGTTGAAGCTCCCTATGGAGCCACGAAGCGCTGCACTCGGTGGTGGGGAACGCATGCGGGCGGTAGCACTGGGGCCGTCGGTGGAGCTCCCTATGGGGCCACGAAGCGCTGTACTTACTGGGAGGGTGGAACTTCTAAATTGGGTATGCGGGACGCATGCGGACGGTCCCACTGGGGGCTTCGGTGGAGCTCCCTATGGGGCCACGAAACGATCTACTGGGTGGGTGAAAATGTCAAATTGGGTGTGCGGGACGCATGCGGACGGTCCCACTGGGGGCTTCGGTGGAGCTCCCTATAGGGCCACGAAACGCTGTACTGTGTGGGTGAAACTGCCAAACTGAGTTTCCGGAACGCATGCGGACGGTCCCACTGGGGGCTTCGGTGGAGCTCTCTATGGGGCCACGGAGCGATATACTGGGTGCGTGAAAATG